GGTGGGTGATGACAGAGACGGGTGCACAGACACCATGAACAGAGAAAAGGAGCCAAGACTTGCCAAGCATACACAGACACCAGCAAGCCCCCAAATGACACAACATATGGAGTACGACTGAACAATCCCTCCACCCTTCTCCACCCGCCATCATCGCAGCGTCTTTTCCTGCCACACAGCAGCTCTGTGAAAAACAGGCACTGACACTGCGACTGTAAGTGGAGAATTTGAATATTTTGCAACAATGGCAACAGCGTTAGGCAAGTCCTCCAAAGACATGTTAAATCAGATCCTGATTCATACAGAGAGAAGCTCTGCTGAAAACATTTCATTTTGTATAATAAGTGAATCAGTGAAGCTTGTTATTAATAATATTTTTCCCTGCAGTTTCAGAGAAGGTGAGGTGCCATCATAAGAAGACAGAGGGTATGAATGAATAGCAGAAAGTGAGTGTTATAAGATTTATTTGTGATGTTTATGTCTTGGTGTAATCAATACAGTCAATGTGCTGTCCTCTACAGCAGCTGCCCACCTCTCAATAATGAGGCATAGGCCAATTACTGTCCAGATGACTATCCACTCATTCATTAAAGGCACACTCCTTGTCTGCAAGCCAAAAAGGAAACAGTACAGGGAGGGCATGACCTTGACTTATGATTACTCCACTTTTATCAAGGCAGAACCACCCCGCCCCCAAACTTTCTGGAGCCTTTCTTTGTCATAGAAACAGGTTATCTGGTTTTCAATAATTCAGAGATAAACATGATCATGGCATGGAAGCAATCGTGTATATCAGCTATCACAGCCCAAGAGCTCTTTGTCTTTTTCAGTTGTCCCCCTTCCTTTCTGGGCTTATTTTTCCCTTCTCCGTCTCCTTCTCCAACCATCACAGTTCTACTTAGTGCAACTCCACTGTAAAAGCCTTTACCACCAACCGCACCAGCAGAATATCTATGACTGCAGGACACATCCAGTTGTGCAGTGTGCAGCGCTGGCGCTAACAGCAGGCTTTACACCCGCAGTCATTCAGCTGATTCACATGCTGTCACAATTATGAAGTGCTTGAAGCTGAACCAGGTCAAGTAACTTCTTTCCTGCTGGCTGCCTCTCAGGAGTTCATAGCTGCTTCTGCAGAACAAAACAACATATTCAACCCCAGATTTTCACAGAAAGTAAGTAAGTAAGTAAGTGTATATCTCTGGCACCCTCAGTTGGCTGCCGATGCATTCAGTGACAGCATTATGACCAACTCTATGTACATTTGTATGTGCTTCATCACTGGTGGGTATTTTTCAGCAAGAGAAATACTTGTCACCATCTGTCATCTCCCACAAACACATGGACAAAATGGCTTATGGTGGTTACAGCGAGAATAAGAAAACAGAACAGTTTTAATAATTTCATTATATAGACCTGGATTCCCCTACAGTTTACAGGCTTCGTTAGTTATTCAGGGCTCGAGACATGTATATTTATATGTGTAAACTAGCATACCAAGTGAGCTTAGTTAAAGGTCCAATAAATGTACTATAAACCGGGAAGGCATGGCATTGCAAGACTGCATTGATCATTAAGCATTCATATATGATTTTGTGCAACAGAAGCATTAATTATTTAATGTAAAATCTCAGCAATTTCTCTGAATTAAAAGTATTTTTGCATTGCAGTCATCACGAATAATGAGTTATTAATTATGTTCGTGTCCTGTTCATGAACAGTAGAATGTTGATGTTGCATCTTGGATGTGTTTAGCTTGTTTGGAGAGTGAGAACCGTGGATCCATCCTTACTGTTTTACTCTCTTTAACCTGAAAACCAAGCGTTGGTTGGCCTGTTTAGAACCAGGAATACTGTAACTAATTATTGCCTGACTCTGCGGCCATCATAGTGGGATAGTTTAGGACAAGACTATGCAAAGTAGATTCCACAGCAGTGAAATAAAGACTGACAGGTGACTATCCCCAATACAGACCACCATATGCATGCTGAAATCAGCCGCAAGTTTGTTTGGAAAATCACAAGCAATATTTGCTGAGTGCTCCCATTTTTGTATTTGGTGTATAATTTAAAGGCGCCATGGTAGTGGTGTCATTAGTATTTTTACTTTAGGCCTTACAGCATCTTCTCGTTGCATTTTTCTCATTTTAGAAAGCCTGAAGAGAGGCACAGATTGCATGCAACAGTCGATGTTCAGTTAGTTAAAAGATGAAAAAAGCCAGGCCCCGAAAAAGCCAAAATTAATCAAATCGCAGGCTCAGCATGCGTGGTGAAGGCAAGTCTCTATAATGAATGTTGTATGAACAGGAGATGGATTGGAGGGCTTGCTAATTTAGTAACGTAGAAACTAATGGCTTTTTTCCTCTTGTATACTCTGCCATTTCTGTGGTTGCCTCTCTCAGCAGTGTATATTTTGACCATTACTTTTTTGAGGAAACTGTCGGTCTCTGTGTGTGCATGCGTGTGTGTGTCCCTCCTCTTCTTTCCCTCGCTCCCTCTGCTGATTGCTATTCGTGTTTCAGAGGCAGCCTGAACCCTAGAGCTCAAAGAGTTCAGTATCGACAGTTGTCCACAGTAGTGAGAAAACGAATGAGGAGGCAGTAAGAAAAGAGTACGAGAAGGAGGAGAAGCCAGGAACTCATTAAAACAGTTACTATGTTAATAAATACCAGTTTACGTTTCTAACAAAGGCTCATGTAAATTTACATAAAGGTTGATCGAGTGCATCCATCTGGAACATGAAGTTTCTGTAACAAAAGAAGTAGCTGCCTCGATCACACTATTTTAGGCTGCAGTTCTCACCTCGAGCCTTTATGACATTCAAACTTATATAATTTCTCTCAGACAATATGTGTACATCTGTGTTTTTGCATGCCATCTTACACCCTCAAGCTTAAATAGCATGCCGCTTCTTCCTTACTCCGCTCGCTACCCACCATACATATGCATATACATATGCAACATACATATGTAAATGTCCATTTAAAAGGGATTTATACCTTTTTTGTTAGAAATAACAAAAAATACTTTGATATTAATGCATGTACACTGCCTTCAGCTGCAAGAATTTTCAGTGTAACGCTAACACATTATGATGAAATGTAATTCCTGACTACCGGTTCTCATGTGGTCTCCAACTTCAGATTCGAGGTTGAATTCTTTGAGATATAAACAAACAAATGCTCAAAACCATATTAAAGATTACATGGCTGCATATATCCTCACTATTTATCTCTCTCTCAACTCGTACATGCGAACATGCCAACACACACACACGTATACGCCTACTTACGACCACTGGAATATACACCCTGGCAAATACTGTTTGCTGATATGCGGATTGGGTTCAAGAGCGGAACAGTGAGCATTTCAATCTAAACAGTAAACACTCTTAATTGGATTGTGTGCTTATGTGCTTTGATGTGAATCCTCTAAGGACTGTATATTATTAGGCCTAATTGATTCTGATACATATTTACATGAGTTTAGAAAATTA